TGATAAAATTTACAAAATTAATTATCGGGTACTTAGTAATAATCAATCATATCGGGTGCCCGATATGTTTATTCTTCTCTGATAGGTGTCCGATAGGTACCCAATAAATGCCCGATATTTGAATTTTGACCTGTGCTCTGTGCTTTGGGATTGTTGCAACATGCTTCTTTTTGTACTATGCTCATTGCAGAAATTGACAGAATTAGAGCCAAAATTAATTCTCGTGATACTAACTATGTAACGGAGGTGCAGAATATCATTTTCATAATTAATAATCTAACTGGGGAATATAACGAAATCAAATGGATTCTAGAAACCTACCATAATAATTTTAATCAAATTGCAATTGAATTCGAAACAATCGGTAGAAGAATTGTATCACTTCAGAGTAAGAATAATTAACGTTATGCACTTACCCAAAGTACAAACAGGAGTGGATCTGATCAACCAAGTGAGGCATCATCATCCTCCACCTATTCTTCATCTTCTACCAATTCATCTCCAAATTCCTCAGGTACAGATCGAGCCGAGATGCGTGAAATGTATAACAAGAAAAATTTATTAATCATTATTCTTGATTGCAGAATCTGAACGAATCCAATATACAGGGAACATCTATTTTTTTTAACTTTTGGTTATTTTGTAGATTTAAATTATTAAGGAGTGGATTGTAAGAAAGATTAAGGATTTCTAAATTAGGAATTTTGTTTAAATTCAAATGAATATCATCTAATTAAAAGAAAATAAAATAGGATATTACCTTAACAATTTGCTCCCGCTTTAAAGAAATCTTTGATAGGGTCGCAGTTGAAAAAAAATATACCTTTGATGAAATATGTTATAGTGTAATGATGCGCATTCGTGAACTTGGAGAAAAATTCTATATCCCTAGATCAAATTAAAATGTGTTTTAATAATGAATATACCAAGTATATAAAAAAATATAATAGGTATCTTTTAGTTGCTGAAGGTGAAATTAGAAGATATAAAGAATATATTATTTCAGATTATTGGATAAGTCACAAAAAAAGTCAATTACAAGAAAGATTTTGAAAGTGACTTTTAGAAATAGAAACATAGTATATACTTAATTAATTTATTGCAAGGCAATAAGCAAGACCTTACATGTAATTTAGTCAATAATTTATTGTTTTTTATGTATATGCTTGATAATGATAAATATGTTTTTACATCAGCAATAAAATTGTATATAATGGTTATCCCAAGAGAGCAACCTCATGTGAACACAGATAACGAATCAATTATTTACTGCAATAGTGAATTCCCATATTTTACGAATTCGTACATATGATACATTATATTTTATAGTGAGAATTGGTAATACATTTGTTGTATCCTTGACAGTAATAATATTACTAATTGCTTTAGATGATAAGTGTGTCGCATCTGATCTCAATCTTCTAATTATTTATATACGCAAAAAAATAAATTTAGTAATAATTTATTGTTTTATATAAGATAAAGAAATATTCAAAAGCTTAGTTAATAAAAATTACATGAGTACTTGAAAAAAAAATCATCAATCACTTTGTGAACTCAGTTCACAAAGAATTCACTTTGTCAAAAAATTTAAATAAAATTTTGATCATATATGCATGACATCGATATAAATACAGTAAAATAAATTCCAAAATATGTGTTGAGTAAACATAATTATGTATACAAAATCAACTACCAAAGCCAGCTTTATTGATACAGTAAAAATAAAAACAAATTTGAAAAAAAATACATGTTTATTGTTACAAATAAAATATATAAGTTTGTTTAAACATTTTCTATACTTTTTCCTCTTGAACAATGTGAAGGACACATTAAACATATTCTTTTACTCCCTTCCCGAATAGGTGATGATATTTGTGATGGTGGTGATGGTAATGTTTGTGGCGATGATGGTGATGATAACACTTGCGGTGATGATGGTGATAATGATGGTGGTCGTGAAGCCTATAGATAGAAATAAAATTTATTAATATAACTATTATTGTTAATAATACTTTAGTTTATACTTACAGGTTTACTTCTATGTCATTTTTTTGGTGGAGATTTTATAATATAAACAACTGGTTTTAGACTCCAAGGACTTTTTCTTTGTTGAATAGAACCACCAGCAATTCTATTATCATTGTTATTGTTGTTATTATCATTGTTAATATTACTGTTATTGTCATTATTATTGCTATTGTTATTATTATTATTTTCATCATTGTCATTATTATTATTGTTGTTATTATCATTATTGTTATTGTTATTATCATTATTATCATCATTACCACTATCATTATTTTTATTGATATAATTATCATCGTTATTACTATTACTACTATTATTATTATCATTATTATTATGATTCTGATTAACCCGTCTTCTTTTTTTTCGTCACGTAGAACTGCTGGCAATGCTGTTATTATTGTTAATATTATTGTTATCATTATCATTGTCATTATCGTTATTACCAATATTACCATCATCACCATTATTATTATCATTATTATTGTTATTGTTGCTATTATTATTTTCACCATTGTTACTATTACCGTCATCACCATTATCATTATCGTTATTGTTGTTATCATCATTATTGCTACCATTATTGTTATCATTATTATCGTCATTATTGCTATTATTATTATTGTAATTATAATTCTTACTATTATTAGTATTGTGATTATAATTATTATTGTTGTCAATGGAAATCATATCATTGTTGTCATCAAGAATTTCTGAAGTGAGCTCTTCGGCGGTAGGATTGGTTTCGTTGTAAAATTCTGAATCATCAATGTTGGAACTAGATGATGCATTGTTATTCAAATTTTTTCCGTGACATATTGTACAATATAAATCAGGGGAGGATCCTCGTTCAAGACAATTGTAGTGGAATATGTGTCCGCAAACCAATATAGTGATCGGTTTCAAAATTTGTGGGTCAATTTCATCCAGGCAAACACCACAAAGAACTGATTCTTGAGTATCAACTTCTTCTGGTATTTGTTGAGGAGTATTGTAGAATATTACTTTGTAAGCAAATCTTTTCAGTCGTGCTCGCACATTATTCTATAGGTTTTGATGTAGATTAAACATTTTAATTTTAGATTTAACTAAACAATAACATACCATTATATTATAATACCTTACCTTATTATGATTTTCTATTATTCCTTTCCAGTATGGAATCACCCATTTGTATGAACGTTCAAGTTTTACCTGTTATGAGAAGAAATGTTAGCAGTGCATCAACTTTTTTATTTAGTGATAAAGAAAGGTTCATAGCCAATTCCTCCTTCAGAATCAACAGTCCTTTACCAAAAGCTAGTGTTTGGATCTGAGCAGAAATTGTCTGACAATCCTTAATTGAAAATAGTTGGGAAGTGAGGAAAGTGGGAGCGTTCTTAAATTGAATTTTTTGATTAAAGGTTGTTGAACGGGAGAACTCTCATTTCTTGGTGGTGTTGGAGGTGGTGATGGAGAATTACTTAATGAAGGAGGGTACGGAGATGATACTATGAAACATCTTGACAGTGGTGGATCATTATAATCATATTTTCCTATTTCGTCCCCTTCTCAATTAATAGTATCCACAATAGGCTTCGGTAAATTATTATAATTATATAATAGCAATTTCTGCTCAGGTCCAAACACTACCAACAACAAAGTGAGGGTGCCTGAACTGAGGACTTGGAGTGGGTACCAAGCAAACAAACCCAGTAATTTTCCTGAGCTAGGCACATAAGTGAATCCAACTAGGAGTTACCTTCCCTTTGCAAAATAAAAAAAAACGCACCTTTGTCTTTAAGTTTGTAAAATTTTCTTGGCCTAATTTTTCTGCTTCTCGTAAAAACTTAAGTGCCCAACCATTGTCAAGTTCTTTCCAATCACGAATTGCTGTTAAGGAGGAAATTATTACATCTCGATTAAGCTCGAGGAAACTGCGGTACGACTTGTTGTTATAGGTTTGTAAATAATCGATCAGAGCTAAGAAGTTAAATATTGATTAGAAATTAAATAAATTTTTACTAAAGCCAGATTGCAAGTTATAGAACTTACCATTGTACCCAACGTATGGTTCGTGAGTTCCACATTTAGACATCATTTGTGAAAATAACTTATAAAGAAGAGAGATTTATTTGTTTTTTAAATTTTGATCCTAATTTTATTGTGTCAAAAAAAAGTCAGCGCGTCCTAAAAGCATAGGTTTTTATTGGCTGATGATCAATAGTCATGATTAATAGTGATCAACATTTAAATATTTTTTTGGTGCGTTTTTCAGTAGAGGTGCAGACTTATAATGAGGTCATGGCATAGACGTAAATATGACGTATCTTTTTTATTTTTTAAAAGATTATGACTATGGTAGTAAGACGTGACTATAGTAGTAAGACGTGACTATAGTAGTAAGACGTAACTGTAGTAGTAAGATGAGTAAGATGTAACTATAGTAGCAAGACGTGATTGTAGTAGTAAAATATATAGTTGCATATTGTTATATTATAACTCATCAGAAAATTTAATTAGGCATAAATTTATGGAAATATCACATGATCTACGGAAATTTACGCCTAATTAAATTTACTGATGCTAGAGATATATCATATAAATTTTATATGCCATAACCTACACTCACTGGTAAAAAGTATAGAGACACCTGACAATTTTTAAAAATAAATCATTTTAGTTATTCTATATAAAAC